GCAGGGGACGCGGGTTCGTGCCCCGGTCCGGGAAGATCCCACATGCCGCAGAGCGGCTGGGCCCGTGAGCCATGGCCGCTGAGCCTGCGCATCCGGAGCCTGTGCTCCGCAACGGGAGAGGCCACAACGAGAGGCCCGCGTAACGCTAAAAAAAAAAAAACAAAAACACAACTTAGGTCCAGTGGAATTGTCCTCAGAGTAATAAAGGCCTTTACCATGAGCTTTCTAAGCAACTTTTAGGTGCTGCTGGGCCACAGAAAGACTCTTTAAAAATGCTTTGGTTTATACATGGAAAGAAGCCCTCAAGTGAATTACTGCCTTACACTAGAGGCCTAGCTGTAAGAACCATTAGCTGTAAAAGAGAGGTTAATTATGAGGAAAACTCCCTGGCCTACGCTGAGGGGTTTTAGTGACTCACAGTGAGGGGGCCACGTTTGGTGACCACAGCCCTCTCCCTGGCAAAGGCTTAATGGGGAGTCTGCTACCATGTGCCACATTTGGGCTTGTGTAGGGACCAGGAAGCCTGATCTTGTTTGGGTTCATTAGCTAAGGGGACTGTTGCCCACAGGGATCGTTAACTAGTAGCAGCCGGGAAGGGGGCAGGAGCAAGACAAGCTGATGACACAGCAGCAAAGTTACTCATTTTCTAAAATTAGGATCTTGGTGAAACTCCAAACAAACTTTGCCTGGGGCTGGCTCCCTGACCCCTCAGATCAGTAAGTTGGTGGAGACAGCTTTCTCAGGTCTTCCTCCCCACTCTCCTCCATGTCCTGTGCTTCAGCTGTGGCTGAAAACACGCTCAGGTGGGGAGCGCTTATTTCCAAGAAACTGCGTGAGATATTTTCTTTCAGAAGCCCTTGAAAAACTAAACGTTGTGTTTTGTCAGGAACATTTTCTTTTGAGCCAGGAACCCAGTTCCCACCCCACCCATCCCCCTCCAACATTCTGACGACAAATAGGAAGCCAGGATGGGCAAAATTTAGGAGCTCACCTCCAAAAGGAATATTTTAACAAAACGTATACACACTTCAGATTCCACTGCCATCACTGAGCACCTACTGTGTGCCAGACCCTGTGCAAAGTACTTTTCCTGGCCTTCCTCCACCATGCCCACAGCACACGGACCCCCGAGCACACGTGGACGGTCACCAGTTCTGCAGATGACACACTGAGAGTCAGGCTCGCAGACCGCAAAAGGCCACCTGATGAGCGCAGAGCTGGCATCTTTACCCAAGTCCTTTGACTGAGGTTGGTCCTAGGCCACCCCTTGGCCCTGTCTCAACAGAATAACCCAGACAGTGACTTTCAATGGAAGTAGAAACCGTTGCCATTAGCATTCAGAAGTACATAGCTTAAGGGAAGGAATGTGAAAATGTCTCCCTCTGAGGGTGACGCCCTCTGATCTCACCCACCCTATCTACGCTTCTGGACCTTTTTTCTTTTCCTTAATATTTCCAGCTTTTGAGTACATGAGTAGGCAGACAAACCTTGCGACAAATACCTGGCCAATCTGGAGTGGTTGCATGTGTCGATGCTCCATGTATATTACCGTGTTTTCACTATTGCTATGGATAAGTAACTATTATTTTCTACTAACACTTCCAAATCAAATTACCTGTTAAGAATGTCTTCTTGGCGGGCTTCCCTGGTGGCGCAGTGGTTGAGCGTCCGCCTGTCGATGCAGGGGACACGGGTTTGTACCCCGTTCCGTGAAGATCCCACACGCCGCGGAGCGGCTGGGCCCGTGAGCCATGGCCGCCGAGCATGCGCGTCCGGAGCCTGTGCTCCGCAAAGGGAGAGGCCGCAACAGTGAGAGGCCCGCGTACCGCAAAAAAAAAAAAAAAAAAAAAAAAAGTCTTCTTCACTGTGCTAGCACTGGATGGAATTCTACCATTCTGCACTTCTACTCTTCATGTCCATTTTGCAATTAAAATAATGATAAAACTTCCTCCTGAAGGATGGTGTCGTTACAGGTTAATATGAATGAATGCATTCTACCGTCACTCTAGTTTCTTATCAGCATTCAGCTGAAGCATTTTTAATTTTCAGATATTTTATATTTAGCAGTGTTCCTGAGGCATTTCCACTTGGGTGCAGCCAAGGCAGTGAGCAAATGAGGGGCTGACACTGTTGTGGAAGTGAGCAGAATGCCGTGAATGCAGTGTTTGTGGCACCAGCTCTCCTGAGTTTGAGCTCCAGCTGCTGTTGATATGGAGCAAGTACCTTCCTCACCTGCATCTTATATTCTCCTCCGTAAAAATGAGATTAAAATTGCCCCTACCTCATAGAGTTGCTGTCAAGCATTAATTTACGTGAAGTGCTTTTAAAAATGCCTGGAACGTAGTAGCTCTATGTATGTGATTGCTGTCATTATCATGATTATCATTATTCCACAAGAACCACAGGTAGGAGGCCAGGGATCAGGAGTGTGTGCGTTCGTTTCCAGAACTGAAGTGCTTGGAGCACAAAAGCATTTAGTGATATATTTGCCTCTCCTCCCCTAATTCATTGATCAGACTGTGCCCTGTGATGTGCACACTTTTGAGACTATTCAGTTCTAGTAAATAAAGAAGCTTGTAGTTTACAAACATAGGCAAACTATCTTAAGATGTTTAAATATAAATAAGCTATTAAGCAAAAAGTGTGATAGTCGTTGGCAGAATTCATGGGACGTGTTAAGTATAAGATAAGTAGTCAACACGTAGAACATGTGCGTGTTAAACACAGGTAACGAAGGATGGAGGAACCAAGAAATACCTAATCTGTATGATGCACCTCAGTGCTAAATATTCATAGTATACTAAATACACATGAGATTAAATATCAGGACTTATTAAATATATATGAGCCTTTAATATTCATGATCTCCTTATCTGGAAACCTACTGGTTATACGCTTCAGGTCACGTGTCCTCTGCCCAAGAAACTCAAATAGAACTCATAACTGTTCATCAGGCTAATTGGCGAGCAACAGCTTAGGCCAGGCACGCCACAACTCTCTAGGAGGACAAGTATGTGACATTGGCCCAGGGTACCCACCATCTGTGGGCCCCTGTGTCAGGGATCCCCAACACTACCCTCAGAGCTGATGATTTTCTAGGACTCATAGAACTCAGAAAAGCAATTCAACTCTTGGTTACGCTTATTACAGCAAAAGGATGCAGGGGACATGGGTTCGTGCCCCGGTCCGGAAAGATCCCACATGCCGTGGAGCGGCTGGGCCCGTGAGCCATGGCCGCTGAGCCTGCGCATCCGGAGCCTGTGCTCCGCAATGGGAGAGGCCACAACAGTGAGAGGCCTGCGTACCGCAAAAAAAAAAAAAAAAATGTGGAGGAACAATAATACAATCTATACAAGTGGGATAAAGAGGAGAAGAAAGATAAGAAGGCAGATGCATGAGCATATCGGTATGGCTATGATCTCATTCACTGCCTCCAGACAGTGCTGACCACAATTTGCCTCTAGCTTGTATTTATTGAATGCTCATTGCAGATCAGATGCCATGCTAAACACTCTAGCTGAATTAGCTTATCCTTACAAGCCAGAGGTAGGCACTATTTATCCCTTCACCATTTTGTAGATGAGTAAATGAGGGCACAAAGGAACTTGTATGAGGTCACCCACTGTCAGTGGTGGAGCCAGAATTCAAATGAGGTGACAGAGTTTACACTCAACCACTCTACTAGGCTGCTTGGCTTCTGAAAGTGGTTTGTCTTGGTCTCAGGGCCTAGCACAGAGCGGACAGAACTCTTTCATTTGCAAGTAACAGAAACTCAAGGCAAAATGTGAAAAGGGATATATATTCACTCACAAGCCTGAAAATTTTAGGGAATAGGACTGAAACAGCTGGATCCGTGGGCTCAGCCAGGCAGGGAGGATTTGCCTGCCCATCTATCATCTCTCAGTTCTGTTTCTTCACTACTTCACTACTGTCAACTCTAAGCTGACATTCCTATAGCTTGGCGATCAACTCTATGAGAGATTCTACTTCCCAAGCGTTCCAGCCACAGACCAATGAGGCAGACTGACTCCGATTTGCCCAGCTAATCCAGTCACTGTTGAGGGGCAGTGGCCAGGCCTGGGTGATATATGCACCCTTGCTGCTGGCTGTAGAGTCAGTCCTATTTGAACCACACAGATTGAAAATAAATGAGAACATTTTCCTAAAGGAAAATGGGGTTGTTGCCAAGAGAAGAGGGAACATCTCTGGGCAGGCAAAAACAACTGATATTTTCATGAGTTCAGTAAATGCATGAATATCGGATAGATGGATGGATGGATGGATGGGCTGGGTGGATGGATGGATGTGTGAATGAATGCAAAAATGCAATGCCCAGGGCAAGGGTCTGTATGATGAGAAACTTACAAGAAAAATACTTTCTTACTTATCTGAACTGTGAGAGCACTCAAGATTAGCAATTCCTTTGGTTCTCTTCCACAAAAAAGAGACCAGGAGATTTGAGGGAAGTGGTTGGGGGAAGACTACTGAAAAATAGGTACTTGAAACAAAGAATGAGAACATGGGGAAGAATTTCTCTAATGGAGAACATTACAGTTTTCATAGGAAATCTGCCTCAAACAGTGTGGGTTTCTGGTTGCTTTTGTTGGCATATCTCTCCTTCTTGGTGTAGTAAGAAGATTGCAATTGTCATGGGCAATTACAGCCCAGTGCACAGAGTGGTATGTCCCATCTGGAGAGACTGGTCACCTCAACCGGCACAAGCCATCAGAGTCCTCAGGAAATATGAGCTTGCTCCACAGGGATGCTTAGAGTCTCTTTAACTTCCAAACTCAGGCCATTCCTGTAGGTGGATCCCTAGTTTTCAGCCACATTTGTGTGCCTGTGAAGCTGCCATTTGGAAAGTTGATTCTCAGAATGGGATTTGGCTGAGCAAATAGAGCCCCAGTTGGGAGAGTACATCTACCCTGCAGAGAAGGTTATGCAAAAGGACAGGACGATAGATTCCACCAGCAGATTCAGGAAGAGGAAAAGAGCCACGCACGCCCTCACATACATAAGCATCAGGACTGCTTTTGTGCACAGCACGAGATCAGGGAGACCTCAGCGTATTTCAGTCCCAAATCCTTGTGTTATTTTATTTTTTACTGTGTGCTCCATTTCAGGGAAAACGTAACGTGCATCTTTCTAATTTGCCTGCCCTTCAATTTTGCCCTTAAGATTTATTAACCCATTTTTTTTAATGTATTAACTCATAGAGCTGCTCTTGTGTGACATCCTGTCTTCTAGGGCTAAATAGACATTCATATCTTTTGTGTTTAAATCGGGGATTTGGGGGGAGTTTTATGCCTCCAAGAAATTGAAGTTTCTTTTTCAATCTAGAAGTTTCTAAGTGTCATGGGCATCTGGGCTGCCAGGCTAGAGAGCTTAAGTCCAAGGTGCCTTTTGAGGTGTGATGTTGCCTGCTTTTAGCTCCGATAGGGGACTGAGCTGGCCTGCCATCTGGAACCCAACATCCTACCTTTTTCCTCCAGTGTCAGGCCGTGGATGCCAATCTCAAGTGAATTAGAGTTGAATGTAAGAAGATGTTTTGATTAGAGAATGTAATCGCCAACCTAGAGTTATAAAACTGAAATCTGAAGGAAGAGAGAGCAAAGTGGAGTCCCTTTTACAAACTGGGCTAAATGAGGCACGAAAGCTGGTTTTACTCACTGCACCTCGGTCAGGCAGAGGAACGGAAGTCCTGCAGGAGTCCCAGAGTCACTGTCACAGAATTAAGCCCTATAGACCCTGCTCGGGCCCTAGCCTGGCCAGGCTCTCTGCCTCCACTGGGGAGGGTTCTTTTTCAAGCCGTCGAATAAGAAAACCTAAGCTGAGGTGGACACAGCATAAACTTTATTCAGTGGCCAAAGAATGGAGAAGCAGGAACTAAGTTCACAGATCAATTAAATCTCACCTGGCCAGAGGGATTTAATTTTAAAGAGTAAAGGCTAAGGGAGGAGGAGTGAGGCCAGTGATGGAGAGGCATATGCATTAGTCTACCGGGGGAGGGGCAGGGCTTTTCCAGGGTGTGAGATGCCACCCCCTTTTTATTCTTTTCTGGTCCTTAATGTCCTGTCATGGTCACCGACAGGTGTGCCGTTTAATATGCTCCCGTAGTAAAATCAGCTTATAATGAGACTCAGGCTCTGTTGGAGGTCGGATTCCTCACCACCTTGGTCCCAGCTGGTTCCATGTGGGTGTTTGTTTGTAGCTTCCTTTCTTATCTCTGGACGCTTTAACTTAAAGATTTATGTTAACTCTGCTACAGATGGGGGTTGACGGGTTTTGAGCAAAGACCTGGAGCAGCTCTGGCAACATCACCTCCTTAAGAACCAGGGGAAATGAAGACTCTTAATTTCATCTGAGAGGAACCTGAGCCCAGCGAGGCTGAGGCATTTGGCCAGTGGGGGTGAGAAGCCCAGAGGAGCTCAGGCCTCCCCATACAGCACGCTTCCCTGCCTGAACAAAACACAATTATGGAAAAGCAACAGCTTCCCTGAAGTATTCATGCTTTTCGTAAATGCATTAAGTTTCCACCCTGGCCATCCATTAGAATCAATGGGAAAAGCTAAAAAAAAACAGAACAGAAAACTGAACATCTGGGCCCACCCAGACCAAATAAATCGGGCTCTCAGGGGGTGACAGGGCCCTGGACATCAGTGTTTTGTTTTGTTTTGTTTTATTTAAGGGTGATTTATTTTACTTAAGGGTGGCAGTGGGAATAGTCATAGATTTCTAATACAAACCAAATACAAACATCAAACAACCATAAGAATAATGAAAATCTACAGTGTTTTGCTTTTTTTTTTAAAATTTCCCTGGGCGATTTTAATGCGTGGACAACTTGAGAACCAAAGTACTTATCTGGGCTGGGATGGACCTACCTGAGTGTTGTTAGCCAAACTGAGCCAAGAGAACATGCTGCTGATGGAGTGAGGAGGGTGTCTAGTGATGTATCACACAGGTGGAGAGAAAGGATGCTGCCCGATGCTGTGGAATGACTCCGACAAGCTTGCCCCTGGGGGAATGAGAGGAGAGGACACAGGGACAAGTTATCTGAAAAGTGTCTTCTGCCCTGAGAGACAGTTTTGTCCTCCTGACCTCTGGCAGCCTGGATTCCTTGCACAGATAATTCCAAGCCAGCCCTTTCCCAGCACTGGTGGAGGTCTTCTGCAAGATTTTCTGCCTTGTCTTATTTTATTACCAATCTGTCGCCACTCGTTCCTGTTTTGAACAGATGTAATTAATGGCAACAAGGGCTTTCCAGTCTACAAAATCAATACGGAAATGGCTGAAATAGTGTCTTGATGACAGAAGGAAGGCACAGCTCCTTATACATAATTCACCATGCAAACAGGCTGCTACAACCATAACTGCTCCTTTACACATGCAAATCTGGGAGCTGATTTGATTTATGATCTTAACTGGGCCTCTTTAGGAAAGGTCATATCTGAACTTGGCTTCCGGAAAGTCTACCCCCATTCACCTTAATACCTAAGGTCAAACTCATATTTTTAAGTGAATGCTGGACTGTATTTCTGTTCTCCTCCCCAAGCGCACGCCCCCCACTACAATTTCGTTTGAATTCATCTCTCATAGTCCAGGCATGAATACTGACAACTCACCTGACTGTTTAAAATAAATTTTTTAAAAGGAGACAATTTCTCACATGCTGCAACAGAGAACCCACTTTTCCAGACTTGATGATTTCAATGCATAACTTAGTCTTAGACAGGATGGAGCCGGTAGCTCCGAGAGGTCAGAAGTCAGGTGGCACGGCAGACTGATTAGGGGCTAAGGCCTTGCTAAGGCCTTTGGATTGGAGGGTTGGAGGCGGGAAGTGATGTGTGATTTGAATTAATTCTTCATCTTTTTGTTTTATCATTGCTTTTTAAAATTAGGATTCGAATTCTACTCAAGAAGCTCTTTAAAAAGGGAGGAAATTGCTAGGTCCAAAAGAACCAGGGGTCACCCTTCAGGAGGCTGGTCAGTTACAGAGGGCAGTCAGGAGGTGCCATCTCACTGACCACTATTCTCCTCTACAGATGGAGCCGTCCACCTTCCACCAAGCATCTTGCCGCGGACGGAGAAGTTCTGAGTAAAGTCAGCATTTCACTCATATCATTCTTTTATCCATAAATGACGAAATGATATCATTTTTTTTCTTTATTATGTAACTTGATAGACTTTAGGAATTGTGCACCCAGGTGAATCTAAGCTGCCCTTGGCCGCCCTGGCTTCAGCCTATGCCTTGCAATGCTTTGTCACCGAAAGGTCCTGGCTGACCTTGGTCAGGTCACCCCCTTTGTTGGACTCACTTTCCTCTCTGGTACCTGAGCCCCACAGGATGAGCGCTGGGACATTTCCACTTTGTCCTCTTCTAATTCTGGGTCTCCACCTTTAATCTACATTTCCGTTTAAGCGACTGGTCTGTGAATGATCCAGAAGGAGGTTCTAAAGAGCGGTTCTAACCATCTCCTTGCTTTATTATCCAGAAGTGCCATCACATCAGTCACTTGCCGAGGTAGAATACTTAATGCAACCGCTAAGGATTTGCCTTCTCGCCTATTTCCTCAGCTGAGGTCTGCACCCTGCCTTCCTTGTGTGCCTCCCATCGTAATGATCTTCCACTCCCCACCTTCAACTGCAGCAATAGTTCATCCTCTTGATAAACATCCATGGACATGTCTACATACCTGGCATGGCAAGGCCCCTATTTCTGACCTTCAGAGGAGGAAAGATAGTGACCAAAGGCTAGATATCAAGACAGAAAATTCAGAAGAAAAGGAGGTCACACTGTATAAAGATGTTTTCCCCAGGGAAGCAAACAGGAGAAGCTGGGAAAGGAGAAGGAGAAACTCACAGAAATAGCCTCAGGACAGCTCTACCTGAGGAGGTTCCAGAAGCGATATCTGGCTTTGCTCTGACTCAGCTTTGGTTTCTTACCTCTGGTAAAACTGGGAGGCTTGTGAAACCAGATTTCAAAGCATCACTCACTCTTCACTTCCAGAAACCAGCCTCTGGTCTCCACATATAGACACATCTTTGGCAAGGATCTGCCTTTCAGGGGATGGGAAAGAAATGAGATATTAGAGCCTGTTCTGAAGGGAAGAAGGAGTGACAGCTAGTGAAATAATGATCAACCATAATACATAATATTGGACCCTAAACATGTAACCCCGCATCTGGAGCACAAAATGATGCATTCCCACACAGACTGAACCTTTACAAATATTTAAGCTGGAAAGGGAGAAAGCAAAAAAATCCTCATTTTTATATCTGCAGGAAATATCTGAGTTTTGGCCTGGGTGATGCTGGAGCCTTCCAGGGTGAGAAATGATGCCTTGAACAATTATAGTTCCAGCTGCTGCCCTTTGAGCAAGCAGACTGTTCCCTGTCCATCCTGAAGTTATGGTCACTGATGTGTTGCTGTCTACTCTGTTCATGTCTACACGAACTTCCCCAGCCTAAGAAAAGGGGGCTTGCGGCTGGACACTGCTCACTAGTTCTTTGGAGCACATTCTTTATACTGTGTTCATGCGATCTAATAAAGTGGGGACCATGCCATTGGCATCGACTCACTGGGGAGCCTGTTAAAATGCAGCCTTAGCCCTCACCCAGAACCTCTAAATTTGAGCCTGTGTCTGAAGTTATCTGTTTATTTGTACACTTACTTGTTTGTCTGTTTTGTTCACCGCTCTATCTTCAGCTCCCAGAAAAGTTTTAGGAACAAAGTAGATGCTTAATAAGTATGTGTTGAATAAATGAATGAAAGAGCTTATTGCAGGCCCTTGGCAATGGTGGTTGGTTCAGGAAACATGGCCAACATGACCCAAGCCATTCCGTTCAAGACTGGATTCAAGTTCTAGGACTTGGGAATGAGTTCTTTTACTGCTGGGACCAACACAAGAACTGTGGTTTCGCCCAAGACTAAAGCTTAACAAAGAGGAAAGTGGAGCCAGAGACTGAGTGAGGGAGACCAGGGCCCGATGCCACTGAGCCTCTGGATCCAGCTGTCATCTTGTCCGCGATGAGAGACAATAAGTTGCTCTCTGCTGAGGCCATGCTGGCGTGGGCTCTATCACTCATGGCTGAAAGAGACCTGCCTGACAAGCCCTGAGGTCCAGGCTTCACTGGTGTTTCACCAGCAGGATCACATGCTCAGTCTAGACTGCAGCTTTTAAGAGCAGAGATTGTGTCTTTTATTCTTTCTATATCTCTCCTGCTCCTCCTTTCTGCTCTTGGGACTTGAATGCAGGGTGGGACTATCCTTGCATCACTAAAATTGCTATGATTATCATGAGTTTTTTTTTTTTTTTTTTTTTTTTGCGTTACGCGGGCCTCTCACTGCTGTGGCCTCTCCCGTTGCGGAGCACAGGCTCCGGACGCGCAGGCTCAGCGGCCATGGCTCAGGGGCCCAGCCGCTCTGCGGCATGTGGGATCTTCCCGGACCGGGACACGAACCCACGTCCCCTGCATCGGCAGGCGGACTCTCAACCACTGCGCCACCAGGGAAGCCCATCATGAGATATTTTTGAAAATGACTTAAGAACTTACAAATCCTTCTGTGGCTGTTATCTCAACAACCCATAAGTCTGGAAGATTGTGGAAGTACAATCCTCCCCCAGTTCATAGATGGAGAAACTGACCCTGGAGGAGACGGAGGCACCAGCCCTGGCATCAAATGGCTAATAACATGGCAGGGGCCAACCAGGACTCTAACCCAGGGTCTCCGATCACAAAGCCTTCTTTTTCCTCATTGTCTTTATGCTTACTTTGCATGAAAAAAATAATAGACCTAGAATTCAATGAGTTTTCCGTGGTGGATCCAAGAGCCCCAGCCATAAAGGACACTTCAGATTCCCCAGCCTGTCAGAATGTTGCCAAGCCCCACTACTGGACTTTGTTCACTGAGCACATCTCCAGCAGGATGAAGTGCAGACGCGGGGTACTCGCTGGGGCTTCAAGATACCTTATGATGGGACATCAATTGAGTTGTCTACAGCGTCTTCCCGGTCGATTTCCTGGTACACGCCGCGTGGGTCAAGACTACAAGATCACGATGATTGTGTTACTGACCAGGGTTCTTGGCATCCTTAATCAAGAGAAATTGATCAGAGGCCAGACAAGAAATGTAGGCAAGGCTTTATTGCGGCCCCTGCTGCAGCAGTGGGGAACAAGAAGAAACATGTTCCCTTGCTTGCTTGTTCCCCGAATGGGGGCAAGCTGGCTCCTTATATAGGGTGAGGGTAGGGGTGTGTCCAGGTCTCGGGCTGGAGTAGTTTGCTCACCCCTTTGGTGGTGACGTGTGCAGGGGACATGTGCAATATCCTGCTTTTGCTCCCGACACCCTGATTTTGCTCCCGGCTCTTCAGAAGTGGCAGTTGGGCTTTTTGGTCTTTTTGTGTCTGTTTGTCCATAATTTGCCCCAACTGCACAGACCCGAAGTTATTTTTAGTCCCCTATATACGTCCTTCATATTTTGTTACTTGAGGAGACTTTTGGGCAGATGCAAGCATTGCAGCAAAGGGTCCCAGGTCCCAGGTCCCAGCCTGTCCCAATTGCGCTCTCAGTGTGTTTCACTGAGAATGGCATATTTTGGGACTTGTACCCAGACAACATCCCAAGGCATAAGAGATGATTCTGCCTCAAGACACCACTCTCCTTCACAAATACCTATGCTCACTGTTCAGAAGCTGTGCCGACTTAAGCCTAGACACACACACACACTTACCATTTATTTATTAGGCTTTTAAAAACTGTGTCCTTTAGGACATGACTGTGGATACAAACCAGGAATAAGCTATCAATTTAAAAAAAGCAAATATAATTGTGATACTAATTAAAACTGTAGCAGGATATAAGGATCTGCCTAAAACACAACCTTGTTGAGAAGAATCAGTTTAAAGACACAAGTCAGGAAATAAATGTTGGCAAAAAGAGGTTGTCCTTAAGGAGGTTAAGAATTCCAGAGAGTCCTTCATGGGTTTGAAACTTGTCATGGAATCAGAGCAATACTCACAGAATATACCTTGAAATGATTAGTAGTAGTAAGAAAAATGATGACGATAAATATGTTATCTGAAATAAACAATGAAAAATGCTTTTTAGTTAGCAAAGAACTCACTCTCCACGTATCATCTCATTTGATGGAAACCTGGAACTCCTCACAGGTATTTCAGAGGCAGCCCTGTGTATTATCAGCTGATGTTCCAAAGTGTAGGCTTTCAGGATAAGGAATCATTGAGCCCAGCTAGATTGTCCTACAGATGTTAACAGTAGCCTGTGTTTGTGGAGCCAGGTCCAGTGCTACACACTTTACATTAGTTATCTCATTAAAACCTCACAATCTTCATGCTCAGTTAACTTGTGAGGAAACTCAGGCTTAGCAAGATTAAGCCACTTACTCGTGGTTACTCAACTATCAAGTGAGAGAGCCAGGCTCTGGGGCTGGAAGGTGCTGCTGTGACATCCCAAGGTCCCCGTCCTGCACAAGCCCACATTTTTTCGAGCAGAGAGCCGAGGTAAAGACAGATTTCCTGCCTTGGAAGCAGAGGGTCCAAAAGAAGACAAGGGGAGACAGAGGACCTGTATTAACCAGCTGTTTGACCTTTTGAAAATCAGACTCCTACAGCCTCATTTTCACCTTCTGTAAAACAAGTTGCTTAGACTAAATGTTCTCTGAAGAATCACCCAGCATTAACATTCAGTGATACCATGAAATATGTCACGTCTGCTGACAGGCAAGTGTGACAGGAAGGGAAATTTTGCTATTAACAGAAGGAAAGAAGAGCAACAACCATAGCCCCTTCTGCATTCTAGAGGAGCAGCAGAATTCCTCCCAGGGAAGCTTAGAAATGCACCTTATTGAGCCTTTGGTTTTTAGCATATTTCTTATAAAAGAAATACGGTGCCCATAATTTACTGATCACAGTGCTTCAGAATCCTTCTCAACACAGTGCCCCAGGCAACCAACAAATGATCAAAGTGGACATGCAAGATAAAATGCATTTTATATCCCTCCCATACAGGAGTTATCTGGGTTAAAAAAAAAAAAAAAGCATGTATCTTATAGATGTGTCAAGGTTATATTGTGGTCAAATGTTGGATAGGCGGCAGCCTCTTGAACAAGTGCAAGTCTGCTCAGCACATTTTCAGGGGCAAGATTAAAATGCATCTGGGGGAGCCCAAGCTGTGATCGTCCAGCAGACCTGACAGTCACATTCATAAACTCTCAGTATTAGAGCTTAATTAACACCACCGAGCATAGGATTCAGTCCATTCACTTTCAGCCACGAGAGGGAAAGAGCAGCTTCTCAGGGAGAGTCCACACCCAGAAGGTCAGATTCTCTCTGGGAGAATGAGAACTGCTCTCAGAATGCCGACTCCCACTGGGCTCAGGGACAAAACACACAGATTCTCATATCAATCTATTTCACGTCTTTTTCCTTTGGGAGTGAAGACGAGCCCGTGGGATCAGGGCAGCAGGCTGTAAATAATGGTCGGAGGGAGAGATGGATGATGGGAGAGTACAGGCTGGCGCCTTGCTGCTATGGCATCCCAGCTCTGCCTGCTTCAGTGACCACCCAATCTCTACTCAGAGATGCCCCCAGGAAGGAGTGTGTGTCCTCCCAGCTTCTATTTCTGACTGCCTTTTGCCTACCCATTCTTGCTGCCTTTTCTCTGTGAAAAGTTGAATGATACAGCCATAGCCGAGGAAAAACACAGCCTGCAAATCCAGCTTTCTTCTCAAAAACCAGGCAGTCCCATGAGACCATTTGATGTGCTGTGTGTGTTTTTGATGAGAAAAGAAAAGGTATCTCTAGAGATCCTGGTTGGTGGTCAGTCAACACCCGTGCACTGAGTAGCCACTGAGTGCTGGGCACAAGGGGACATGAGAGAAAGCAAGAGGGTGAGGACTTACTTCATGGAGCCAACAGTCTAGATAGGAAGCTAGTAAAATGCATAATTAAAATCATAGCTGGAGTAACTGTCATGGATCAAGTGCTATGAGGATGACAGTGGGCTACGGGAGCCTGGTTAATTACCTAATCTGGGCACTAAGCAGTGAAGAGCACCTGCTCCCACGAACGTACACATATGCACAGAGCCTTGTCACCATAGCTACATCCTCAGCTTCACTCCTCCTCTGCGTCATTCTCAGGCTTCTCCCTGAGAAAGCACCCCAATCCAGGATAAGTCATGCTTTCTAACTTCCTGAAGCAGCAGCAGCAGTGGCTCTGGTCATACTGGGGATCAAGGCAGTGAAGACTACAGCCACTCCACTCTCTGCCCTTTGCCCCCTAGCAGCTTCCTGCAGCTACTAATATTTGGTTTCCCTTACCCTTTCCTTGTGCTATTCAGGATTTTTTTCAATAAATTCCCTGATTGATTTCAGATTCTGTTTCAAATCTCTGGTAGGTTTCAGCTTTGCCGATTGGACACTGACTGATTCGGGGCATAAAGATGTCCAAGAGACGGCCCTGCCTTCAAGGTCGACTGGGGTCAAGCCCTTGCCCTTCAAGAGCAAGAACCCTCAATCCCACTCCTGGGCATATACCCAGAGAAAACCATGATTCAAAAAGACACATGCACCCCAGTGTTCATTGCAGCTCTATTTACAACAGCCAGGACATGGAAGCAACCTAAATGCCCATCGACAGATGAATGGATAAAGAAGATGTGGTACAACCTCCTAGAGAAATGGAAATAAAAACAAAAATAAACAAATGGGCCCTAATGAAACGTAAAAGCTTTTACACAGCAAAGGAAACCATAAACAAGATGAAAAGACAGCCCTCAGAACGGGAGAAAATATTTGCAAATGAAACAACAGACAAAGGATTAATCTCCAAAGTATACAAGCAGCTCATGCAGCTCAATATAAAAAAAACAAACAACCCAATCCAAAAATGGGCAGAAGACCTAAATAGACATTTCTCCAAAGAAGACATACAGATTGCCAACAAACACATGAAAGGATGCTCAACATCACTAATCATTAGAGAAATGCAGATCAAAACCACAATGAGGTATCACCTCACACCGGTCAGAATAGCCATCATCAAAAAATCTACAAACAGTTAATGCTGGAGAGGGTGTGGAGAAAAGGGAACCCTCTTGCACTGTTGGTGGGAATGTAAATTGATACAGTCACTATGGAGAACAGTATGGAGGTTCCTTAAAAAACTAAAAATAGAATTACCATATGACCCAGCAATCCCACTACTGGGCATATACCCTGAGAAAACCATAATTCAAAAAGAGTCATGTACCAAAATGTTCACTGCAGCTCTATTTACAATAGCCAGGACATGGAAGCAACATAAGTGTCCATCGACAGATGAATGGATAAAGAAGATGTGGCACATATATGCAATGGCATATTACTCAGCCATAAAAAGAAACGAAATTGAGTTATTTGTAGTGAGGTGGATGGACCTAGAGTCTGTCATACAGAGTGAAGTAAGTCAGAAAAAGAAAAACAAATATCGTCTATTAATGCATATAGGTGCCACCAGTGGGAAGCAAGTTTATACTTTCATGTATTACTTTCCTGTGGCAGCTGTAACAAATAACCACAGCTTGGTTTAAAACACAGAAATTTATTCTCACAGCTCTGGAGACCAGAAGTCCTGAATCAAGCTATCATCAGGACCACCCTCTCTCCAGAGGTCCAGGGGAGAATCCATTCTGTGCCTCTTCCAAATTCTGGTGGTTGTCAGTGTTCCTTGGCCAGAGATTGCATCACTCCAGTCTCTGCCACCATTGGCACATGGCCTTCTTCTCCATGAGTGTGAAATCTCCCTCTGCCTTTCTCTTGCCAGGACACTTTTGATGGCGTTTAGGGCTTGGATAATCCAGGATCATATCCTCATCTCCAGATCCTTAACTTACGTCTACATACACACTTTTTCCAAATAGAGTAATATTTACAGTTTCCAGGAATCAGGACCTGATACCTCTGGCTTCCCAGGGGAGGCTGATGCCCTGAGCTCAGAGGAGTTCACAACATCCCCTGGGTAAGAGCAAAAATCAGCAAAAGCCACAGCCCCACTGATAGAAAGAGATGTTGTCCCCTGGGCACCTG